CTTCCTGATCAACCGTGGACCTCACACAGGTATCGAGTTGAAGACTCCTTATGAGGTGTGGTATGGTAAGCCTGCTGATTACTCTTCACTGAAAGTTTTTGGGTGTCCTGTTTATTATCATGTGGATGAGAGTAAACTGAACCCAAGGGCAAAGAAGGGTGTATTTGTGGGTTACGGAGATGGAGTTAAGGGATTTCGAGTCTGGTCACCTTCTGAGCATCGAATTATACTCAGTAGAAATGTGATATTTGATGAGAAGTCTATGTTTAACCCCATGTTGAAGGTTACTGTTGTTGAAGGTAGCATGAATGTTGATAAGCAGGTGGAGCTGCAAACTCTCAATAAGAGTGAGTTTGAGCACCAAGGTGGAGAAGATCAACATGATGAGGATGTCTCTGCAGAGCCAGAAACTTCAGAGTCCAGTGCACGAGCTCAACAGTCTATTACTTCCGGTAGACCGAAGAGAACGACTGCAGGAGTACCTCCACAGAGGTATGGCTTCAAGGACATGGTGGCGTATTCATTTCAGGTTGCTGAAGAAGTGGATGCAGGAGAGCCACAGTCATATAGAGAAGCAGTTTCGGGTGGTGAAGCTGATCAGTGGCTTGCCGCAATGGGAGATGAGATGGAATCCCATGACAGGAATCAGACTTGGGAGCTAGTCAAACGACCACAGGGAAGGAAGATTGTTACAAACAAGTGGATCTACAAGAAGAAGGAAGGGATCACTCCTAAAGAGGGCATGAAATTTAAAGCTCGGGTGGTTGCACGAGGCTTCTCGCAGTGGGAAGGAGTTGACTACAATGAGATTTTCTCGCCAGTGGTCAGACATACTTCGATCAGAGTGCTACTAGCAATAGTGGCACATTATGACTTGGAGCTCGAGCAGCTAGACGTGAAGACAGCTTTCCTACATGGAGAGTTGGAGGAAGAAATTTACATGACTCAGCCAGAAGGATTCGAGGTTCCGGGAAAAGAAGACTATGTTTGTAAGTTGAAGAAGTCCTAGTACGGACTTAAGCAATCTCCGAGGCAGTGGTACAAGAGATTTGACAGTTACATGCTTGAGCTGGGCTACAGCAGAAGTCCATATGATTGTTGTGTGTATCACAACAAGGTGGAGGATGGTTCGATGATATATCTAGTTCTGTATGTGGATGATATGCTCATAGCTGCGAGGTCGAAGTCTGATATCCAGAAGTTAAAGGGGCTTCTCAGTGCTGAGTTTGAGATGAAGGATTTGGGAGCTGCTCAGAAGATCTTGGGTATGGAGATTTACAGGGACAGGTCGAAGAAGAAGCTTTTCTTATCACAGAAGAGCTACATCCAGAAGATACTGTCGAGGTTTGGCATGTCTTCAGCAAAGCCCTTAAATACTCCTAGTGCTTCAAATGTTCATCTATCCTTAGATTATGCACCACAGTCGGAGGCTGAGAAGGAGTACATGTCGAGAGTCTCATATGCTAGTGCAGTAGGTAGCTTGATGTACGCTATGGTATGCACTAGACCTGATCTTGCACATGTTGTTAGTGTTGTCAGCAGGTTTATGATACAACCTGGGAAGGAGCATTGGCAGGCTGTGAAGAGGATCTTCCGGTACCTTAAGGGTACACCTGATGTGGGGATTAGCTTCAGAAGTGATACAGAGTGCTTGGTGTCTGGGTATTCTGACTCGGACTATGCTGGAGATGTTGACACAAGGAGATCGATGACCGGTTATGTATTCACTCTTGGGAGTTCTGTAGTGAGCTGGAAGGCAACTTTGCAGTCGGCGGTGACATTGTCTACTACTGAGGCAGAGTATATGGCGTTGACAGAAGCTGCTAAGGAGGGAATATGGTTGAAGGGACTGGTTGGTGATCTGGGTCTACATCATGATCAGGCAGTGGTATATTGCGACAGTTTGAGTGCAATATGCTTGGCCAAGGATCAAGTCCACCATGAGAGGACTAAGCACATCGATGTGAGGTATCATTTCTTGAGGACAGAGAAGAGGATTAAGGTGAAGAAGATTGGCACCGCGGATAATCCTGCTGATATGTTCACGAAGCCGGTTCCACATGGCAAGTTCCAACACTGCTTGGACTTGCTGAATGTCTTGAGTGGGTGACTCCGCCCTGCGGGGCATTGATGGCGGGAGAGAGAGAAAAGGAGCAGAGTACATCAGAGATTTCAGAGGAAGAGGATTCAAGTCAAGGTGGAGATTTGTTGATATGACTTGAATCGGATTATCAGCCGCTACGACTGGTAATCGGGGGTCTCGTTGCCCGGTCAGCGAGTGGGGTCTAGGGGCAACGCCCCCGGCCCACGGTGTATGGGCTCAATGTTATTTGGGTTCGGGTTCTGGGCCTGGTCTGTAACCGTTTCCTTTGCCAGATTGGATTAGGTTTTAGACCCACATGAAGAAGTACTATAAATACTTCTCATACTCCTCTGTAATCTATAATCTCCTCGATATAGTGAAATTGTCTCTCTCTCGCCCGTGGACGTAGCTAACACACATCGTGTTAGTGAACCACGTAAATCGTGTGTCGTGTTTTCGATTCTCGCTTTGGTATTCTTGCTTTGTCGATTCCTACGATTTCCCGATCCGTAGCAGCGCGTTTATAACACTATAGATTAAAAACTTAATGAATAATCTTTAGGGGTTGACTATTCTACAATAAGTACGTTTCTTTTTTTTCCCTTCTTATACATATGCAGATATTATCGTACAATTTGGAGATCATGAATTAAGTAGAACTATCATGATCATTCTAAGTTGATTTTAGGAAGGTTGGGATCTTGCTCAAAGTCCAGTCAGCATGGCGATACCCATTTCCATGGCAATATAGCAAAAAAATGATGGCGGGATATGATTAGGAATTTACATAGAGATCGGGTACCATATATAAGAATTGATAGTTTATGAGTGATATAGTACATGATGCCATAGGATGCTAGAATAACACATTTTTATTCCAAATACGTAAAAATGAAGGTTTTGTTTTCGGTACCCGCACTTTTTTGGGTGCTTGCTATACACTCACCTCATAGTCGTCATTCTGAGTAGGCGATTCATGTAAAAAATGATGTCAATTGTTACTTGTATGATAGACTAACACATGATTTTACACAAAAAAATCATTCATATTTACTTTGATTTGAATGATTTAGGATTATAAATTTAGGGTTAGGGTTTACAATTTAGGATTTAAGGTAGTGCATTGATTAGTGATTGATCCTATGTTATATCACCATACTATATTGTTATGGTGAAAATTTAATTTGTACCTATATCTTTTCCTACAAATTCATTTATGATATAAACTGAACGTGTATCTTTAACCTAATGGTACAGTTTGCATCTATATATTTTTGTAGAAATTACTTTATAATACAAAATAAACTTGTGCATTTAACATTATAGTATAAATTCAAATTGTATCTACACATCCAACTAGCTTTTTACCCGGCCCGTTGGCCGGTGAGTTTAATTTAACATTTACATTAATCAATTTATCTATATGTTTAAACTATTTTGGATCTTCTAAATTTTTTACATTTGCATTCATTGGTGAGTATGCGGTGCATCTATAAATTAAAAATTCTCAATACTTAGCACATTCACTTATGATGCTTTGATTCACTGATCATAAATCATGTCACAAAGATATATCACGTCCCATATAGAATCTAATGTCAAGATTTGTCAATAACGATACTCAATTTTTTTTTGTCTTATACAATATATGCCATTCAATGAATCTCTAGTTTGGACGAACTCTCAACCAATGATGTTGCTCAGATGACGACAACTTAGTTAGAATTTTTTTTTATAAAGGTACTTCAATATTACATAAATTTGGTCATCCCAATTGAAAATTTATTGTCTTAGTGTAAGATCATATTTGTCTATCAAGACACTCAATTTAATATCTTATACAATATGTACCAATTGTTAATTCCTGAAGTTTAGTATAGACTCACCCTCAACTCATGGTCATTGTTTAGATGTTGGTTTAGAATCTCGTCCAAGATACACACACACTGTCGAGGGTTCTAATCTTAACATGGTTCATTGTTGAATAATTTTCTAACTTATCAAATATGCATTTGCTCAAATTTATTTATCTTTGGTGTTTGTTTTGAGATAAAAATTCCATTACTTATACTAATATCTTCATTTTGTTGGCGTAATGCCACATCTATTGTCAATATCTAAGCATGATACTATACTCTAAGTAAGAAAATGCTATATGGACCACGAATTAACCGGATTTGTGGGCATGATACTATACCCTAATGCTTAATGAGTGAACCCTAGGTCTTAGTTATCTAAATCATAGAGCTTAATCCCTAAGATTGTGCATGTAATTTGTTGCATAGATTTAGCTACATTAATTTGTTGCATGTAATTTTTTGCTATTTAATGCTTGTTTTCGTTGATAGATACAAACATTAGAAAGAGATAGTGTTTGATAACCAAAACATAAAAATATATAGTTGGTTTTTCAAATTCAATTGATTATTAAATGTAGATTATCTAAACTTTCTTCATTATATTTTGTTTTTAAAAATTTTTATTACTTATCTGTGTGTTTAATTTATTTTTGTATCTAAATATAACCTATATTAAGTTCTAATAAAAATAAAAATAAAAATTCATTGATCAGATTTAATCAAATATATTTTTTGAAGCATTACAATATATGTCACTCTCGAAACATAAGTATACTACTGCTACACATATATATCGAAAAATACAATTATTGAATAAAAAAAATATTAAAAGAAGATAGAGATAGCTACATAAATGATCATTAAAATAAAAAAATATTAAAAAAGATAGATATAGCTACATTAATTGATCATTAACTAACTTTTTTGTTTGTAAAAAAAGTGTCCACCATGGCACCTTGTAAATTCTCCAAATGCTTATGTGGCAACAAACTACTTTTGAATTGCTATAATATTATGTATAGATAGATACTTTGAAGAAGAAGCTAGCCCACATAAATTAAATCCTTTTTTATTCATTATGACCTCGTATGAATTTTTTTAGCTAAGCCCATCCGTCCTCCCTTCTCTACTTTGTATAGCCCATATGATTTAATTGTGTTTTTACCTTAAGGTCCCTTCGCCCTCTGCACAGGGGAAATTGGAATTGGTGAGTTCCTCGCCGAGAACCTCCATATACTAATGGTTTCGATGCTAAAGAATACAATTTCAGGAAGTATAACACATGCCGAAACATGAAGATATACAATCTAACCTACCAGCCAAAACTAGAGACCAAATCCAAAGGTAGAGTGCCTTATGAAGCATAGCTGATTCTCGATCTTCTGTCGGCTTTTGACGAGAAAAAAACTTGTTAACAAATGGTTAGATTGTGAATAGATACTGTTAGGAACGGAACAACAAAAGGAACGAGGTTACCGAATCTGGAGCTGAGTTGCGGACTAGGTCGCTCTCTTTAAGACGTTCGCGGTACTGCCTACGTTGCGCACGGCAGACTATCAACCGGTCGTCTCCAGGATAAAACAGCTCCTCTCAATACTAGCGGTTTTGTGCGAAAACCGAAGCTCTCTAAACACTCTCTCTATTGTGTTTCTGCTCGTTGTGATGTGTTTAGAGGGGCTGGGGAGGCGGCTATTTATAGGAGCCGAACCCCTAGGAATATACCCTCTTGCTTGGGGAATAAGTCGGATTAATTAAGGAAGATAATTACTTCCTTAATTAAAACCGTCGGTTAAGATAAACCCGGAGGGATTATCCTTCGAATATTCCGTTTTAGTCAATTATCCTTAGAATATTCCTCAGAATAACCGATTAATAATTAATTATTAGATAATTAATTTCGTTCGGAATTTCTCCAAAAATATATATATAGTCTCAAGTGAGCCGACCAACCAACCAACCGGTCGGACGGTCAGACGGCCCGCGCCCGCGTGTGGTGATCCGTTAGGTCCTCCCTCTCCCACAAAAGTGGGTCACCCCAAGGGGCATGCCCTTAGGAGAGAGGCTCCTATCTTTATACACATTTCACCAAGTAAAACTACCAATGTGGTAGTTTTTCCACTATAGACTCTATAGCTTTCAAAACTATTCATATACATTTCCAACAGATACTAACCAAAGAACTAAAGTCGAACCTTGTAGAAAGTGGGTGTGCCCACAAAAAAAGTGCTACGGAGGGTGCAATTCTCCTTATCAAAGATCATCTTTGAATGTATTAATTCAACTAAGAATACCAAGATAGGGGTGGAGATAAAATGAATTATCCCCAGTGTTAGTGTTGTGGTATATGATCCACGGTGTTGTGGTATATGATCCACGATTGAACCTCTTCCAACAACTCGAGTTATTAGGATCAACTGGTTCTTGACATGGTATCAGAGCATTCTGTGACCGAGAGGTCTTGTGTTCAATACCCGGTGACCCCCATTTGTTAAGCACATGGTATTCTTGTCTTCAGACCTGTGCAAACTTCAAGCCCTTGTGAGTGGCTTTCGTTTGAGGGGGCGTGTTAGTGTTGTGGTATATGATCCACGGTGTTGTGGTATATGATCCACGATTGAACCTCTCCCAACAACTCGAATTATTGGGATCAACTGGTTCTTCACACCCAGGAACTTCCATAGAAAGAAAACTCTCTTCTCTGAACCCGACAGGTGACGATTGTCCTTGTTCTCACGTGCAGTTTGCAGAATTAGCATGCCAAGTTTTTTTTTTTTTTTTACAAAAAATAATCTTATATTGATTCAAGAACAGATAATTACATCCTGGTTCCCAGCCAGGTCTGGAAATCAAAAACACGACTCATAGCCGGAGACAAAGAAAGGGCCTTCCTAGCCACCCTATGGGCTATCCTATTGTTATTCCGACCTACAAACCGAACACTCAACCCCGGATAAGACTCAAAGTAGTGAAGAACTTCTTCCAGAATAGCCCCCACCCGGTTATCATCAGCCTGCCACGAATTCACCTTATCGATAACCACCTTGGCATCCCCCTCAAACCTAACCATCGCAAACCCCAGCCCCAAACACCAGCCAATAGCCTCCCGAAGAGTTAGAAGCTCAACTACCATCGGGTCCCTCATATCAGGAAATCTGACCCCCCTAGCCAGCAGCAGATCATGACTCGAGGTCATAAGCACCATACCACCAGCTGAGGGAGCACCCTGCCTGGTAGCCCCATCCCAGAAACAGACGACCCTAGTATCGCCTACTGGTGGAGCCAGGGGGATAGACGTTCTGGGTGATGGCAGACTTTGGTCCAGTGGCAGGCTCACCCATTCCTCATACTGTTGGGAAAATTTTTGCATCAAAGCTGGGATCCCAAACTGTTTGCCTTCAAACACCACCCAGTTCCGAGAACGCCATATCCGCCAGAGGACCGCCACCATTGCCATGAGCAAATCCGGTTGCTGAATGAGAGCCATTACACGTTTCAGAAACAGAGGGAAAGTATGGGTAGGCAAACCCTGGCCTAGAAACTCCAATCCCGAGAGGTCCCAAAGTGCCCTCGCCACCGGACAAAAGAGAAAGAGATGCTCTAACGTTTCTGATTCGGCCCAGCACACTGGACATCTTGGGTGAACCTGAACCTCTCTCTCAATAAGAGCTTCCGTAGTTGGGAGGATCCTATTCAGAATTAGCATGCCAAGTTTCATTCATCCGCAAAGGTAAACTCTACATCATGTACTCCTGATTTAGCATCTCCAATCATCTGAAAATCAGAGAGGAAACGGCACTTGAATCGGTTTGTAATTGCAAGTAATCAACAAAGAACAATATTTGGCAGAAACCTACCTTCTCATAGTAGCTTGGAAACAACGAGCAAACTGAGATTAACCTTCCACGGGCCCTGTTCCAAACTCTTTCCTTGGCTTAGCAGAGAGCCCCTTTTCAAACATCTCTGCATCATATTTCCTAGCTTCATCCAACAAACCTTTATCAATCAAAACATCTATCCAAGCATTGTAAGCAGACTCATCCGGGCTGTATCCAAGTTCAATCAGTTTCGACCAAACAATAGAGGCTGGCCTCAGAAACCCCCACCTTCCGAACTTCTTTATAAGCATCACAAAGGTACTCATTGTTGGCTGGACTCCATCCTCAACCATGCTATCGAAAAGCCGGAGGATTTTCTTCGGATCTCCAAGACACCGGTAGAAAGAATGATAAGTGATCACATCCGGCTGTATGCCTTCCTTGCTCATGTTCTCAAGCATCTCATTTGCCTCCTCCATCCTCGAGTTCTCACACAAAAGTTTTATCACAGTGTTACAAGTCGCAACATTCGGTTTACAACCCATCTCCCTCATCTCACGATAAACCCTTGTTGCGAAATCCACACCCTTCGACTGCCCAATGGCTAGAATCACCGTGTTATACGCCACAACATCTAACCTTATCCCCTTCGCCTTCATCTCTTTGTACAATTTCACAGCTTTATAGGCCTTCCCACTCTTGCACATTATATCCATGTACATGGAATAAGAACGCAAATCCTTTTGCACCCCTTTCTTGTCCATCTCCTCCCAGAAGTCTCTACATTTCCCCCACCACTTCATCTTAAACCAGCCCCGCAGGATTAGATTATGAACCTTGGTCGAATTCATCATCCCTACTGCGATTTCGTCATTAGGTTTCCGCTGAAAAACGAATTCCTCAGCCTCCACAACGTGTTTGTACTCGCACATTGCGTCGACGAGATAGCTATAACAAGTCTCGTCTCTCAGATTGAACTCGTTCGACCTCTCGTAAGCAGCGATAGCTTCCTCGACTAGATGTGCAGATACATAGCGCTTAAACAGTGCCCGAAAAGTGGCATGATCAGGCATCGCACCACAATCCGGCATTCTCTCGATTAACTTCCAACAAAGCTCGAATTCGAAAAACTTACCGAGAATATCGATCATGCAATTGAAATTCTCCGTCGTGTGCTGAATCTCGACTGAGTGGAAGTAATCGAAAGCTGCTTTCCAGTCGTTGGCCTTCAGCCTCAGCTTCTCGAACACAGCCTTTGAATCGGGTTCCGGTGCGCTTTGTAGTGGAGGCTCCGGAGCGCAGGAATAGAATTGCGAGGTGGGAGTTGTTGCGAGAGAATAGGCGGTAACGGGACGGAGAAAGGGGTGGCGGAGGAGGCGGAGGAATAATGCCGGCGGCGGCGAGGTCATTTTGGAAGAAGGAAAGCCTACTTCTCTGCTCCAGATGCTCGATTCTCAGAGTTGAAGAAGAAGGTTCTGCCGCCAACGGATTGGGGGCCGAGCTTACAAGCCGATGCAAGATAATTGGGCTTTGGGCCCGACTTTTGAAGGCCCAAACGTCCATTTCAGAATTCAGATTATCTGTAAGGATATACCAACCGCCACATAGTGGACCTTACCGCACCCGATCACGACTTCCTCCCTGTCCCTGTCATTTCTTCAAGTTTTGTCCGTGCCCAAGCTAAGCCAGTAAACCCACTATAATCTCCACCATTACACTGCGAACCCCCAAGTCGGAAGTCGGAAACATTTCTTTCTGTGGTGTGCAGAGCTAACAAGGGTGTGCGAAGCTTTCTTCCCCATTTGCTGCTGCTTCGCCATTTGAAGAGGTGAGTCAGAAAAAAAGGAGGCCAGAAACCCCAGTAGTTTCTTTCCTCAGGCTGTCATCTCAATCCGATTGCCCGCCTTCTCAAAACCCCCCATCTTCTGGTTCATGTTCTCTTTTTACTTCTGTGCAGTTATTCATTTCGGCTAGGTATGGCTTCCGTTATTGCAAGCTTGCCTCCTCTGCCATCATTGCTGCTCCGCGGAAGGCAGAGCATTTTCGTAGCCTCCCAACCTCTCCCAGTTTCCCCAATGAACGGTGAGTCGTCGACTCGTCGTGGTTCCTAGTGTATGCACTACCATTTGTGTTATTTCCTATTCCTGTCAAGAGAATTAGTGGTAAATGGGTTTTGGTGATGCGTAGCTTACATTTTGAGTTAGCAAGTTAATTATGAACAAATGGCAAGTTGGGGGAATCGAGAATCGATTTGAATTAAACAGCTTCTTTCTTTCATGTCAATTGATTACTTGGAATCTTTCTTTTTTTTTTTTTTTTACACTTCTTTGATTAGATTTAGAATTGATAACTTGCATCGCAGGAGCTTCCGGGTTGCAAAATTTGGATATTGGGATTCATTCTGTAGATGAAAGTAGTCACTATCAGGCTTCAAAATCGTGTTCCACTTTGTTGGATGAAAGTATTGACATGTATATCCCTTTATGAGTGAACCAATGTGTCTGGGCATATTAAGTCTGGTTTTAGATTTTCAGGTAACTGACTGCATGTACTTTCATGGCTAGGTAGATGGCATTACCATGTATAACACTTCCCATATGTCCTCAATATAGCTCTGTCGGGTGCCACCTAATTCAAGTTAGATGTGTAGTGTCCATTTTTTGAAAATGGTGTGCCTTTCTAGATGGTTTTCTGCTTGAAGTAGCTGTCCTTTAGTTAGGAACTGTTACTGGCACAAGTTTAGTAGAGAAAAGAGAGATATTTTCACCCCAGTTGTGTTTCCATATGGAAACTGATTATCTTTGTAGCCTGTGATATGAAAAAATTTCGAACAGTTGTACAAAGTGCTATTTGATGATGACTTAGCTTGGAGACGTAATTCGAGCACTAATAAGTCAAGTCCAGTCACCATGTTTCATGTGCTTGATTTAAATCATTGTGGTGGTATTGAGAATTCTTGATTAATTGCTCATGATCATACCTTCTCAGGGAAGCATAACCGCGCTGCTGTTATTTCAAAGGCTACTGGCGAAAGTTCTGATTCATCCCTCAATATTGCTAAGAGCGTACAGAGTGTTGTGGGTCCTCTTATTCACTCTCCATGTCTATCTGATTAATTTCCATCTTTCTTTGGACAATGAAGGATGTTTGTGGTTCCAAGACCGTTGGCACTTCATCTTGTGCAAAATCCAAAACGAACTCTCGTCACTGGGTTACTTGTGTTACTCTTGATTTGTGCTGAATAGAATTGTTTTCGTAACATGTTTTGGTTCATCTTCTACAGTGGGATAAATCTGAAGATCGGGTGGCTGTCATTGGTCTTGGTTTTGCAGCTATAGTAGCTCTTTGGGCATCAGCTAGTCTCGTAGCAGTAATTACCCACTTCTCTGTTCTTAAAGTTTTTGTTATCCTTGTGTCATTGGTGCATGACCACATTAAGGACTTAGAAGCTTTGGTCATGGAGTAGCAATCTGATGCCTGTTTGAAGTCCAAATGTCTTCTATATTGGCCTACATTTCCCCTCTAACGTTCATAAGCAGAGATAACATCCTAACTGCCTTTCTTTTGGGATTTTTATGAATAGGCTATTGACAAGTTGCCAGTATTCCCAAGCCTGTTGGAAGTTGTTGGCATACTTTATTCAACTGTAAGTATCTCAAGTCCCCTTTCTAAAATATAACACATGGGTTCATACCTCTATTGTCTTCCCTTCGTTCCTTAAAGCTTCTATATGGGGTGCATCTAAATGAATTATGATCTATCAGTCGCTTCATACTTAAAACATCTGTTATGATCATTAGTACTCATTGGAATGGTGTTGATTCATTGCAGTGGTTCGTGTATCGATACCTTCTATTCAAACCCAACCGGTAAGCAAGCCTTTGTATCAGATTTCGAATTGGCCTGCTCTAATTTTGTGGTTGGAATGGATTAACTGCAAACTGACTCTCAATTGTTTGTTCAATCTCAGAGAGGAGCTAGTGGAGATCATTAACAAGTCGGTTTCAGAGATATTAGGGCAGTGATCATGCTGTCAAATGAATGAAGTGTAATGTAATGAAAGAATACAGTATATATCAGTATTTGTTCAAAAAAAAGAAAAACTAAAAAAAGTGTACATCAGTATTGGTTGGCATGACAATGTTGTCAAGACTGAAATATATTCCCTTGATTGCGCGTGAATTATAACATTGAGCTGAGGCTTCTCGAGAACCCTCTGCTTCCGTGAGTTGCTTCTCTAGAAGGGTATAAATTACACACTGCTTTGTTTTTTTTTTTTTTTTTTTTACAACATGTGGCATCTTTATTCCAATTCGAACATGGGGAAACATAGTTTGTTATAGCAGTGGAGAAACAAGATCAACAATTACAACCCAATCTATCGGAAGAAGGTCAAGTCTAGCATTATGTGCAACCCAATCGGCAAGCGAGTTGAGACGTCGGGGAACAAACTCCACCCTCACCCAGGGAGCTGAAAGGAGGATGTGGATGATACGAGCTAAGATAGCTTGATTGCCACGGCCACAAGTCAGGGTTCTGCCTCAATGCATTTACCAGAACCTGACAATCAGATTTGATAGATGTAGGGCAAGGATCCTAAGCCGCCAGAATCACTGCATTCAACAAAGCATAAGCTTTCGCCTATATCGGACTGGAACAAAGAAATCTCTCAACCTTGCCATCATACACTTGACCATGAGAATTAGCAATAGTAATCCCATAAGCCGCCACCTGTGAATTAGAAACAAAAGAGCCATCACAGTGCACAAACTTCAAGATTGTGTCAGGCGGTGGTGAGGGGTGTGAACGGGATCCCCTAGGTTGAGGAGGCTCCAACGCTGACCGGTAAGAAGATGAAGCGCGGGAGCAACTTCTGGCTTCGACCAAGCTCAATAAATCACGATCAGCCAAGGTAGCCGTAATGGGCGGGGAAATAGCCCTCTGCTCGAAGATAAGACCATCCGAGCAATCCAGATATTCCAAAGGCAACAAACGATCCTTTTAATAATCTCCTCCGAGCAACTCTCTTTCAGTTTAAAAAACCACTCTGTGAAAAGCATGTTTGCAGTAGGATGGCACAAAAGTCCTCCAAAGGATTCTCATGTGTTCACCGCATGATGGCAGTGGAAGAAAACATGCATGATTGTCTCATTCGGCTCCTCACAAATGGGGCAAGCAGAATCAAGAGCACACATGCGAGAGAAAAGTCGAGCCCGGGTCGCAATGACACTTTTGGCACACTTCCAAATGAAGAATCGAAGCTTTGGAGGAAGACCAAGAGACCAGAGCCATTTCCAATCTCGATTGTTCGGGCGAGCAGCTCCATTTCCTGCAAAAAAAAAAGGAACATTGTCACGAGCTTCACGTAAAGATCAATAGGTTGATCTTACACTGTATGCTCCTGTGGTGGTGAATTTCCAAAACCACTTGTCCCGAGCAGTGGATGGGCCGATTGGCACTCTCTTAATTGCAATAATAGTCTCCTCCGGAACAATGGCTCGGAGTGCATCCTCATTCCATGTGCGATCAGTAGGAGAGATCCAATCACAAACACGCGATGGTTCCAGATTGAGGCTAGTGAGGGTGAAAGGTGGGGAAGAAGGTAACCAAGGGTCACAATGGAAACTCGTCCCTTCACCTGACATAACAGCTGAGTACAAGTCTCCATCAGCAAAGTAAAGACCCTTAAGCAGTCGAACCCAAAGAGCATTAGGATTCTCCAACATTCGCCATACTTGTTTCCCGATAAGCGCCAAATTGAAAAGATGAAAATTCTTGAAGCCCAAACCTCCCTCTTCTTTTGGTTTCTCCAACACACGAGCATCACACTAATGAATAGATTTCTTCTTCATAGATCCCGACCAAAAGAACCGTTTCAGAATAGAGTCCATCTTATTAGTAAGGGATAACCAGAGAAGGAATACGCTCATAATATAGGATGGGATAGCTTGGATAACAGATTTTAAGAGGACTTCTTTACCACCAGGAGACAACAGTAAGCTTTTCCAAGATTCTCCTTTCTTCTCCATCCTTTCAAGTAAGAACATAAACGTCTCTTTCTTAGATCTTCCCCACTCAGATGGGACTTCGAGGTACTTATCATGACAGACCGAAGGGGGAAACCCAAACTTATTTGTTACCAACATCTTAATGGCTTCAGGGGTGTTCTTGATGAAGAAAATAGAAGACTTGTTGGCATTAATTTCCTGACCAGTAGCTTCACCATACCGACGCAGAATGCTTTGGATGTGATCTGCCTCATGCACACTTGCTTTGCCAAAGATCACCGTGTCATCAGCAAATAAGTAGTGGGAGATTCTAAGGCAATTCTGATTAAGCTTAATTCCACGAATGTCATCTTTTGCCACTGCTTTATCAATCAAGAACGACAAGACATTAGACATTAGGATAAACAAGAAGGGTGAAATAGGGTCACCTTGTCTAATGCCTCTGGAAGGATAGAAAGGTTCCGTTGGGCTTCCATTTAGGAGGATAGAAAATTTCATAGTTCTTATGCACGCATTGATCCATCCTCTCCACTTCTCCGAGAAGCCATAAGCTTTTAGAATCGAATCAAGGCAATCCCAATCAACTAAGTCATATGCCTTCCTCATATCCAACTTCATCATCATGTCCCAATCACCATGTCGACGATTCTTAAAATGATGTAGGATCTCATGGACAATAATAATGTTATTTTGAATGAGAGGTCCACTCATAAAAGCAGCTTGCATTTCAGAAACCAAACCCGGGATCCACTTTTTCATCCTACTAGCAAGAAATTTTTAAATGATTTTGTACCTAAGGTTGCAACAACTTATAGGTCTAAACTGGGAAATCGTTTCTGGGGATTGAACTTTTGGTATGAGTGCAATATGAGTATCATTCCACCCTTGAGGCATGATTGAGCTGTGGAAGAAATCTTGCACTTCTTTGCAAAAGTCGGGTCCAACCTTCGACCAAAACCTCCTAAAAAACATTCCTGTAAATTTTGTATACAACCTTCGAGCAGGGGTAGAGTTAGGCCCCTCGAAAGTTTATAGAAAATTACGTATAAACAATATTAATATTTGAAAATTTTGTATAAGCTAAAGTATTTGTATAAAAATGTTCATTGTGCAAACATGAAATATGAAGGCGAAGGCAATGAGCCCAGTGAGAACCCACTGTTTACTCCTTTTGATTGTGAGTTCAGAACCCCTTGGATATAGTTTTTATTGTAATTCTCTTTTCAATTTTAATATATCTCAATAATTGCTCGTTTAGTTTTCATCTTACGATTTCTTAATTTTGCAATATCAATAATTCAATATGGTTTTTTAAGTCTTTTATTTCTAAAATTTAGTATTATATGGATGAAAATTGATACTATGATAATATCAAAAATATCATTTTTACTATTTTGTTTAATTTATTGTCTTCTCGCAGTCACAAAATAAAACCAATTCGAAAAGCCAAATCCTAGTTTCGTCACCTTCCCAATGATGAAAATGCATTTTCTACACCTGCAATTACAACTGGTAAAATCGATACTAATTTAGAAACATATAAACTAATGAATTCATATAAAAACTTATGGGTATAACATGTCACTTCTGTCTACACAAAATAAGTTGCAGCACAGATTTTAGGCAAAATACACCTGTGTAGTCAAAACTTTGATGGTTTGGCCAAATATAGCCACTTTTGGCGAAATACAAAAAATTGTCTCTTCCGTCCAATTCTTTGATGGTGTTAGTTAACGTGCTGAATGTACTAACGGATTGTCCTAGTGACCAAGATGAGGGAAGTCCTGCAAGGAGTCATTCTCAATTTGATCCGATTTGGTGAATAGAGATTTATAGAATCCAGTAACATGGGAGGATATTTCAGCCGGATGTGTAATTGAATTTCTACCTTCATCCTTCAGTGAAACTATCTTGTTCCTCTGTTTCCTGTGAGCAGTTGAAGAATGAAAGAAATTGTTATTTTGATCTCCTTCTTGAAGCCAACCAATCCTTGACCTTTAGCGCCAGAAAAGTTCTTCATCCTTCCAAATCGCCACCAATTCATTCATAATGCTTTTTTCCTCATCAATGATGTCCTGAGTTTGTTCCATGAGGAGAATTTCCTCAATCCTTTTCTGAATCTCACACACTATCTTATTCTGATCAAGGTACATCTGCTTCGCCCATTTCTCCAATTCTTTCTCGCATTTTGTCATACGATCTTGGCAGAGTCCTCCTTCATCCCAATTTCGGTTCACAATTTCGTAGCATTCCTCACTTTGGAGCCATCTAGCATCAAAGCGGAACGACTTTTTAGCTTTTCTTTTTGGTCCCTCGAATTCCAATCTCAACGGGCTGTGATCCGACTCAATTGGCAGCTCATGATACACGATAGACTCACTGTACGTAGAGAACAAGCTGCTGAACATAGAGCCCTGTCGAGCCTCTCATCAATTCTACGTTGACCCTCCTGATTATTTTTCCAAGTGTAGGGGTAGCCCTTGTAACCAATCTCCATAAGTGCATTCTCATCAACAAAAGCTTTAAAAGGAAATACATAATCATTTCTAAGAGGTCCCCCTCCTACCTTTTCATCTGAAAAACGAACCGCATTCATATCCCCTATGACAACCCATTTTTCATCAATACTACTTCTAAGGTTGCTAATCTGATTCCAAAATTCCCTCCGGATAGCCGGATCAGTTGGGGCATGGACAAAAGTAATATAAAAACCACCATTAAAATCAACAAAAGCATCAATGAAATAACAGCTACTATCCAGTATTTGGATGGGAAGACCAGCCACCCACCACAAAGCTAGACCTCCTGCTCTCTCCACCGGGCTCACATAGAACCTTTCGGCAAACCTCATACTCTTCCTCTTTTGCTCCGTGTAGGACTCCTTCTTAGTTTCGGACAGAAACACAATAGATGGACTGAATTTCCGAACCATCTTTCGCAGCTGACGAACTGTAGGGTTCTCTCTGAATCCCCTACAATTCCACACAATCGCATTCATGGCGCCTTGGGTGGCTTGGAGTCGGCCACTGGAACCACAGACAAATTCTTTTCAAATCCCGGAGGAATTTCTGGATCATCTTCCTCCGCGCCTTCGTTCCTTTCCCGCGCATTGTAAGCAGAGGAGGGAGTCCCCTGTTCTCCGCCTTCAATTTCATTACTCTGTTGAACAGCCTTTCTTTTCTTTTGTGGGACAAAAGGGCTTGGCACTCTGTTTTTAGAACCATAGGCACGAGGTGGGTCTCTATTGGTATTATGGGTTGAAGAAGGCCCAGTCTTTGCCAATTGATTATGGGTGGAATACAAGTATGAAAGGGCTATTGGTATAATGGAGTCTTTGCCTAATTCAAATTAATTATATGGTGAATATTGTAGTTGATAAAGGAATTAAGATATGAACTTACTTTACGGGACATTTGTATAATGTAAATCGATTATATGATAAATACAGTAGTTTATAATAGAGGAATGCACGACTGATTTAGCGATCTGTGCAGATATTTAATCAGATATTTTTTTTTTTTTCAAAAGATAATCATATATTGATTCAAGATAGACAGATAGTTACACCCTGGAAAGCAGCCAGGCCTAAAAATTAAAAGAACGACACGTAGACGGATACAAAGAAAGGGTCTTTCTAGCCACCGCGTGGGCTACCCTATTGTTATTCTATCCTACAAATCGTAAACTAAACCCAGAATGAGTACCCAAACATCGCACAATCTCATCCAAAATTACCCCAACCTTACTATCCTTGGTATCCGCTTGATTGATCCTGTCAATGATAACCTTGGCATCGCCTTCAAATCGCACGTCCATGAAGCCATTAGCCAAGAAGTAGCATCCAGGAGAGCGAGAGCTTCCACCACCAGGGGATCATCAATAGACCGATACTGGGTTCCTTGGGCTAGGAGGATCCCCCTATGAGGGTCAAGCAGAACCATCCCGCCGGCCGAATGAGACCCGACTCTCGTGGCCCCATCCCACATACACACCACCGAGGGAACCTCAGGCAGCCCTGCTGGTTGGACCATAGGAGGCAGACCCGGAGTCGCATTGTCCGCAGGCAATCACTCCCATTCCTCACACTGCTGGTGATACTGGCGCATCAAGGCAGGGAATCCAAATTGCTTGCTTTCAAAGACTATATTTAGTTACGTGACTAAGGAATAGAGTTTGGGAAGAAGGCACATGTGAGCAGGGGTAGAGTTAGGCCCACTGTTAATATTTGAAAATTACGTATAAACAATATTAATATTTGAAAATTTTGTACAAGCTAAAGTATTTGTATAAAAATGTTCATTGTGCAAACATGAAATATGAAGGCGAAGGCAATGAGCCCAGTGAGAACCATTGTTTACTCCTTTTGATTGTGAGTTCAGAACCCCTTGGATATAGTTTTTATTGTAATTCTCTTTTCAATTTTAATATATCTCAATAATTGCTCGTTTAGTTTTCATCTTACGATTTCTTAATTTTGTAATATCAATAATTCAATATGGTTTTTTAAGTCTTTTATTTCTAAAATTTAGTATTATATGGATGAAAATTGATACTATGATAATATCAAAAATATCATTTTTACTATTTTGTTTAATTTATTGTCTTTTCGCAGTCACAAAATAAAACCAATTCGAAAAGCCAAATCCTAGTTTCGTCACCTTCCAAATGATGAAAATGCATTTTCTACACCTGCAATTACAACTGGTAAAATCGATACTAATTTAGAAACATATAAACTAATGAATTCATATAAAAACTTATGGGTATAACATGTCACTTCTGTCTACAAAAAATAAGTTGTAGCACAGATTTTAGGCAAAATACACCTGTGTAGTCAAAACTTTGATGGTTTGGCCAAATATAGCCACTTTTGGCGAAATACAAAAAATAGTCTCTTCCGTCCAATTCTTTGATGGTGTTAGTTAACGTGCTGAATGTACTAACGGATTGTCCTATCTGGCAATTTTTTTCTGGTACGTATTTCCAACGCGGATTTAGTTAAAAATTAAAAAAAATTAACGAAAATTGAAAAACACAATCTGCCCTTTTCCTCCCACCTATCCACCCACAAACTCTTCATCTCCCTCTGCCGCCACCATACCTTCCTGTTCCCATTCTTCTTCCGGGTGACCCTGCCAACGATAGGAGGAGGCGACTCCATGTTTAGAGAAGCCGGAACCCTCCTTTACTCGACTAGAAGTGTTAATTCGTTCACCCACCATCGCAGACCCTCTCTTTCTCATCCTCGACGCCACAACAATCCTTCTTCTCGCTGCGATCCCCCGCAATCATTCTAATTCATAAAACATCAATCTATCTCCCGATTTCCCGCAATCTTCCCCTGGCGCAACTGCTCACCGTCGATTGTCACCGGTAGCTTTGAAAACTGCCTAGATCTGGAAATTGTCGCCTAAGACCTTGCTCTAAGAACTTGCTCCGCCTTCTCCAATTGACTCTCCCCCGCCGAAATCCTAGTTTTCAGTTGCTTTATTTCAACCGAAGCAACAACCTGCTTCCTCACGCCTCGTCGTAGCGGCGACGACGGATTTTGGTTCTCAATTCTGAGTCGGACAGTGATGGAAGTGAGCTCTTCGAGCTTGATCTCGTCATCATCGCGGAGGTCGTGCTGTTGAAGAAGAGGGAGTTGGGAGTAGTTGAGAGTCGTACTGTTGGAGGAGTCCGGATTCCGTTTTGATTGCGAGATGTTTGGATGAGATGCGAGGGCTGCACTTGGAGATACGAGGTGCTGCAATCAGAGGTTTAAGGCTCCAAAATCCACCGAGAGATGTTTGGTTGGATCAATCTTGGACCTTAAATTCAGAACCCCTACAGAATCGCAAAAGAAAGGAGGAGGAAGAAGAAAGGCGGGGTGAAGTAGACATGGTTTAGCACCCACCTTGGAGATGGAAAATTGAGGTCGACGGTGAGGTAAAGAAGAATGGACGACGGTGAGAGGAAGCGAGCAGTTCTTTGGATTTTTTTGTTTATAAATGATTTTTTGTTAATAAATTAATTAAATATTTTTAAATACACATGTCATGTATACGTGGCAAGTGTTGGTGAGTTGCCAATGATGTGTCAGGTGAGTTGGCAGCCAAATCATCATTCAGTTAGTTAGACTAACGGTGTCACTAACACCGTCAAATTATGTAACGGAAATGGCTATTATTGTCATCAAACTTTCAAATTTTTGTCTATTATAGGTATTTCGCCATAAGTGGCTATTATTGTCACAATTGTCAAAGTTTTGGCTACATAGATGAATTTTGCCTAGATTTTATTTTGAGTAGCATTAATCATCTAAAAATGGAGTTATAATAATATTAAAAATATTTTTTCCTTACTTTTATACTAACATGGGACCTCCAGACCGAAAACCATTGGTACAACCGCTCGACCACGACCTTTTTTCCCCAAAATATATCAATAGATAAAACAAAGAACAAAAAAGCCCCACCCTTACAAAAACTACCAACCCTACCTAAGACTCAAGCCAAGCAATGAACTCAAAAGCTACCAACTCTAATACAAACAGTGAAAGGACTTTATGCATGCCACTCTATGGGCAGTCCAATTGATATCATAAGGAACTGTCCTAAACTCTACGCCATGAGGGAAGCCCGAAGCCAAATGGAGACAATCATGGAGCACAGGACAACCCAAGGTGTCCGATGATAACCCCTTCTGGATCTGGCGGATAACCACATCTGAATCGCCTTCAATCATCACTATAGGAATATGTCGATCAATCGCAATGGGCAGCGCGTCCCGTACCGCAAGCAGCTCAGCAATGTAGGGGTCAACAATTCTAAGATGATGAAAACCAGACACCAGCAGAAGAGAACCACATGAGTCCTGAACCACAATACCAGAAGAGCAAGCATCAGGGTGAACTACAGAATCAACATACGTTTAATATGAGTCATGAAAAATGCAGTTAGTTTGTTAGCTTAGAACTTGCCAACAACATATGGGCAATATGTGGAAAGACAAATTAGCCAAGGAACTAAAAAGAATGAAAAGAAAAGTAGTATGCCCATGGTGACTTCCAAATCACCGTAACATAAAGGTTGACAGGATAATACAGTATTCTGCAGTTGTTCATTGCGATCTTGTACTCGACCATAAACAGTGCCATTTGATGTTCGGAAAGAAATTCATCGACTTCACCATAGAGAGATATACTGGATAGGACTAGCGATGACAATTTCGATATGATTTGTTTCACTGACATTTTTTATTTGCTTTTTGGAGGGTAATACTCATGTAGGCGGGGGCGGACATGGGTACTCTTATCAACCTAATTTGTCCTCTCATGTCCCTAGGGATGGAAACAAAACCCGAACCCACGGGTACCCACCCGATCCAACCCGGTCGACGCGGGTAAAATCCGTGTTGACGGGTTTTGGGTCGGGTTCGGGTTTAAACCCGCTACACTATTCACCGGGTCGGGTTGGGTTTGGGTTTAGGTAAACCCGACCCATGGGTACCCGCCCACACACATATAATTACTTTCCCGATATATTAATATTCTAAACAATATATTTTCCTTACAAAATTAATATTCTTTATGTTTGTGGAAACATGTATAATTTGTTCTTTCTAGTTGTTTAGAATGAAGTTGATATTATGAAGTGGAGAGTGAAGAAACTTAGTTGACGAGGAAGAAGCTTTCAATTAATCTTTTGTTTATAGATGTTTATCTTTAATTTTGAACAATTTGTATTGATCATTTGCGGTTTGCTTGTATGCTCTAGATTAGTGTTTTTTTGTATGATTAATTTGTATGAGAAAATTGATGTTAAACTTTTATTTTGAAAGAAACTTGTTATTGTAAATTTTTTACCACAAAAACCCACGGGTACCCATGAACTCGCGGATACCCAGCGGGTTGGGTTGGGTTTGAGTTTTTCAAACCCAATGGGTTTTACCCCGGGTTTTTTTGGCGGATAAACCCATGGGTTTGGGTTTGGGTTTGACAAAACCCGCCCCAACCCGACCCATTGCCATCCCTTGTCCCATTCTCGACCAGTTTTGTTTAAATTATTTTAACTTTACTGATATTACTTAGTACTTTACTTTCATTAGATCATATTTTAGTTTTAATAAAGTTGTAAATAAGTGACAATTTCAATTTCGGAATAATCTAAATGGTATTGCATGAAAATTTATAGAAGTTTATGTTAAATTGGCATAAACCAATAGTACAACCTATCGAATCACAAAACTTACTACACACTCACACAACGTATAAACGTATAAACCGGTTTGTCTAGCAAACTCCTTATTGAAGTCCTTATTTATTAGTCGATTAACAAGGTGAATAACAGGGAGCTGACGAATCTATCCTTCCTCGGACGGAATGTGGAATAATGAGCTTCTTTCACCTATCCTGATTTACGAACGAGCTTGCATCGAGCAGCAGTAGTCGGTGTTGCAGACGAAGCTAACGAAACCCGGGAATTCTTACTGCGCAAAATCACCGCGGCACCGTCTCTTCTTGCGTCCTATTCATCTGAGAAAACAGTTTCTTTCCTCCCCTTTCGGCCTTTTCTCACCTCTTTCCCTCCATCTCTCCGGAAAGCAAGCACACGAAAAAAACAACCGATCGACCGAGACAGAGCGCCATGGATTTGATTTGAGTCTCGTGAGTATCTCCCCCAATCCGCCGCATTCCCTGATTTCTCCAGGTTTCTTCCTCCTTCTCCTCCATTCCCGAATCTCGATTCTTGCGATATGGTTGCTGATCGGCCACCGCGAATTACTTCCTCACTTCTCTTCTTCGCAATCTCAACCTATCTATCTAGCTAATTCCTTTCCCTAGATTCGTTTCTGATTTCATCCAGTTCGTGTGCACAATAGAACGGGTCGCTGATGTTCCCGTGATCCTGATTGATTTGTGAGAAAATGTGGCGTTTCCCTGATCTTACCTTACGCTTGTTCTAATATCTGTTTATGGGGAAATTCATGTTTGTAGTTCTCTGGGGAGGGAGATGGCGTGGTTTAGCGGGAAAGTTTCTCTGGGAAACTTGGATCTGGCTGGGGCGGTGAATAAGCTGAGCGAGAGCGTCAAGAACATTGAGAAGAATTTCGATAATGCTCTTGGTTTCGAAGAGAATCCCACCGAATCCACTTCTACCAATGCCGAAGGTGCTTCCTTTTTCTTTTTCGTTTTTATGTGGGTTTTCACGATTTGCTTCTCTGCCGGTACCTACATATTAATTCCACTGTTGAATTGAACAAGAATGTGTAC